CCACTATGCTGTACACTTGAAATTAATATAAACTAATATTGAATGTCAATTGTCATTAAAAAATAAAAAAGACGGGGAAGGTGAAGGGAAATAAGAGGCCCAAATTTTCAGGTTAAAACAAATAAGCCATGGGGATGTAATGTACAGCATAGGGAATCCCCACTGCTGTTCAATAACATCGTGATAGCACAATATGGGGCCAGGTGGTTGCTGGACTTATCATGGTGATCACTTCTTCAGGTATATAATTGTTGAATAACTATGGTATACCCCTGAAACTACTATAATATTGTATGTTAGCTATATATTTTTTTAAATGCTTAAAAAAATTTTTTAAGAAGCAGTGGGACAGGCCAATGCTTTGTAACTTTTTCATATTATGCACACATAGAAAGTGGTCATAGTGTAGGGCACAGGTTTTAAGTGGATAATACTGCTCTGGGCTGGAGAGGGTGCCCTGTATCTTGGCATACCTATAATGGGGTTCTCAGCACACCAATGGACCAAGGCACACTGGATGGGGAGCTCTGGGTTATGTAATGTTAAAAGATGACTCAGTTCAGGGACAGTTATTAAGTAATTGTTCAGAATTATCACCTCACCCCATTACCTGGAAGATTTAACACACCAAATGGTCATTCTCCATGAGACTTTCCCTGCCACCCTCCCTAGCTGCACTTCTGTTAAGAACTTCTCAAAAGATATAAGTACTACTTCCTGTGGAAGTATCAATCTTCTATGTCTCTGGCTCTGGGGATTGGCATGGCCCTAAGCAAGCCAGCCAGGGGCCCTTGGGAGCTCTAAAGTGAGAAGAAAGGACTTTTGTTTTTAACTGAAGTATAACACACATATACAAAGTGAATTAATCTTATATGTACAGTTGTTCAAGATGCAGAACATTTCCTTATACATCAATTATATCTCAACAAAGCTAAAAAAAAATCATCTCTCAAGGGAAGCCAGCAGCTGCCCCAGCCTTCCAAGACCAGTGGTTGCAAACGCACCCTCCTGCGGTTCCTGGGGTTTGGGCCTGACCTGTGTCATTCTGGAGTGCCTATTTTCCATAAAGTGGTGAAATACTGGGGCTGTTATAGAAGAAAAACTTGTAATTTCAATACATTCGTAGCCCGAAAGGGCTGTACAGCAGGGAAACACGTGTGGACTGCAAAGGATGCTGGGGGAAAAGTTGTTCCGTGAAGACGTGACTGGCATGGGGTGAAGCCATTATTTCAGTGTATTCTAAAAATTCACTTCCAGAACTTAGTCAAGTAGTGGCAAATAGTACATTGTTCAATGTGCACATTGTATTCAAAGGAAAGGGGGAATTTCATCAAAATGTGAAATTATGGGGTGTAATTGATGTAAAGCAAGGTTATGTAACTATGACTGCACCAAAGATTGAGATCACCATGAGAAAAGCTGAACCTATGCAATGGGCAAGCCTTGAATTGCCTGCAACCCAAAACCAGGAAAAACGAAAAGATGAAACAGAATGAGTTGAGAGGGAATAAAAAGTTATTGCCTATTTCAGAATTCTTAGTATGTGCTGATGTGGTGGCTTGCTGCTGTAATCTTTGGTTTTGTTGTTGTTGTTATTGTTGAATCTGGCATTTCAGGGCAACAGCACGTTCTTAAAAGCCAAAGTCAGTTGATCTTTTAGTGCCTCCCATTTTCCTTTTGAGTTACCTGTTGATTATTCATTTCTCCTCACTAGTAGAACTGTAGTGGTGTCCTATACTCTAAAAAGCTAGAAAATAGGTCATAAATAGTTACAGTATTTCTTACGGTTATATTATGTTAAGCTGAGAACGATAAAGTAACATTTGTTCACATCTTTCTATTATTCCATAATTAGCAAAGCAAAATGGAATGTCAAAATTTTAATTAGTTTTTTCATGAGTTTGTGTTCCTGTAAAACTTGAAAATCTTTAAGGAAGAGATAAAGCTCTGCAGTGTTTTTTCCACTTGGGACAGTTACTTTCTGTAGGTTTAATTCTGAGGCAGTGTAGTAAGTAGGTAAAGAGGAATATATGCATTGATTAACAAATTAGAATTCATTTACAAGTAATGGAAATAAAAAACTGTATCAGTACCTATATTACTTGCCAAGCAGTATGATTTAAGAGTATAAGAAACATTATAAATAAAGGTATAGAAGCAACAATTTGGTTAAAGTTTACCATTTTATAAGACTAAGCAATAATAAATATGTCTTTTCTGATTATTTATAAGGTCTTGGTATGGTTTTATAACTAAATTATATCTGAATTATAGCCTACATGCTCTTATGATCTTTAATTATATAAAGAGAAATTAAATATATATCTGGCCTCTCTGACAGAAAACTGCATCTATAAAATTATAGATTAAAAGACTTATAGAAATCCATTAGAGTATCAGAAAACGACGTAAGGTTTGCTTTATGACAACTATCTATTACATGTTAAATAAAATAGCTTAATTGTTTTGGAAGGTTTTTTTAGGCTTTCATAAACAGCTTGACAATTCTAGGTGATACAATGTTGATTATATATTGTACTTTATTAAATAGGTTTCACAGAATTAGATTGTTTATGCTAATTGAACCCAGTAAAAGATAAGTTACTGTTTGAGGCAGTGCAGAACTCAAGAAAAAAATGAAAAATAAGAAATGTTATGAAATCCAAAACTCTGGCAGAACTTAAAAAGTTTGGGCATGAATTATTTATATAGATTAAAACAATTATTTCCTTTAGAAAAATCTTATGTCAATTATATCTCAATAAAGTTGAAAGAAAAGAATGCAAAAAAAAAAGGTACAGTACATTTCCAACATCCCAGAAGACCTCCTCATGACCCTTTCCAGTCAATATACTCCCATCCAGAGATAAGCATTATTCCAACTTCCATCACCATAGATTAATTTTGCCTGTTCTTGAACTTCCTGTAGGCTGAAGTATAAAGTATATAGTCGTTTATATCTGGCTTCTTTTGCTCAACATAGTATCTCTGAAATGCATCCATGTTGCTGCATAGCAGTGAGTCTTTCCTTTTTTATTCTCATATAGGATTGCACTGTATGAGTCTACCACTCTTTCTCTTACAAACCAAAAGAAATTTAGAAGTACTAGGTAACCCCAATATCGAGAACCAGAAAACAGATGCAGAGCCACAAAACCTATGGTTCTCACATTATAGAATCCCCAAAATAAATATGAGGCAGATTATAAATAACTACATAGTTATCACAGTATATAATTATTTTTAAAATTCATAGCTCCATTCTAAAAAAGGACTTGGAGCATATACATTTTTAAAGATGATCTAGTGATGTCCTGAACTTACAATCAGAAACAGACTTGATTCCTCTGGTCACTTTGGTGACAGTGGCCAGTACATTTAAAGGAAGTGGAACATATACTGTAATTAGAAAACAAATTCCAACTAGTAAATTTAACTTTACTGGTTCTTGGAAACCACTCTTGGAAACAATGTAAATTCTTTGTGATAGTCTGCCTTAACTGTAAGTGATACAAAAATAATAATATAATGATTTTTTATTAAAGTTTATAGCCTGTTAGTAAAAATTAAAACTGAAAATTATATTGAAATTACTTTTGTCTTTTTTATATTTAAGCTTAGTAGAGCATTTGAAAACCTTGTAGGCCTTTGTTATTTAGATAACTGTCAACTTTGATGTGACATTGTGCTATGTAGAAACCAAAATGTTTAACCAGCACGTGACCATGGGAAAATTGTCTCCTATTGCAAAATTAAAGACAAAAGAACTTCCATAAAATCATTTTAGTTTTGGCCAGCTGGTTATTGTCAACTATTCAAGAAAATGTCACAGAGGCCCTCCCTTAAAACTTCCTTCCCAGCAGGAATTCTTTTGACAATGACTGTGTTTAGGACCTTCCTGTTACCATTCTTTTTTTCTTTTTAAGCATCATTGAGGTAAAGAATTGTTCTATGTTTATGCTTTTTAAAGTAATCTTACCTCACTTAGTTTTAACATCATACCTGTAAATTTCAAGGATTAACTTTTTTTTTTTTTTTTTTGGCCAGGAGCAGGTGGCCAAAAGCAACAGTGATAGCAGTTGCATCTATGTCTCTTTTTTTTTTTTTTAAGATTTTTATTGGGGAATTCGGGGATAGGCTAGCACTGGGGAATTGGAGGAAGGGGAACAGACAAGTTGCTGTCTTTTTGCTCTTCAGTCTAGTTGTGGAGGACATTGCTTCCCTGGCACAAGTTGGCACCATCATTGCGCTCTTCCTGGGCGAGACAGATCAGTCACCGGCTTCTGGATGGCTGCTCATGGCGGCTGCTGGCCGCTCACGCTTGCTGCTGGCTACACACGGTAGCCCATGGCAACCCACTGCAGCAGGGGCTGCAGCCTACTCCGTTGCCGGTGACTCACAGCAGCCCAGCTCCAGGTTGAGCTGTTGTTCAGCATCTTAGCTGTAGAGGGCAGTGTCACTGGCCCTCATATGTGGGATCCGAACCGGGGCCCTCTGGTGTCCCAAGCCAGCTCTTAACCAACGCGCCACTTGGCCGGCCCTCAAGGATTAACATTTTTAATGTTTTCTTTTAATGGTATAATTAACATGCGTACAACATATAGATCAGAAACCAAAATTTGATTTGAAGTGAAGTCATTTCCAGATGTTTTTTAGGCTTAGGAAATCTTCTTGCCTCTCACTGTATGACATTATTTTATCTTGTTTTTGTTATTGTAGTTTTCATACTTACAGTTTGATTTCAATTCAGTGAAGTATAAAACTGCCTTGACCTTTGCAAAAAAAAAAATTAATCTTCAAAGAAGAAGAGGGTGTTATTGATTGAACCATAACCAGTGTTTATTAATTGATATGTTTTTCTTTAAGCTTCCAACAAGGGTTACTTAAGGATTTACATAATCTTAAGAGACACTCAGTATTTACAACTTTTCTTTCTTTTTTTTTTTTACTGTACGAGTATGATTCTACAACTCTTCTTAATTGTATCCTTTTCCTCACAGGGGACCATTTGCCTAAATCTTTGGAAGGGTTCTTTATCTATGAAGAAGAAGGTTCTGGAGTTCCAGGTTCCAGTAGGAAAGGAAATGATGCTATTGCAGTAGAACAATGGACCGTTATCGAGGTAATCTGCAGTTTTCTGACAATTTAGCTTTACTTTTATATTTAGTTTAGCGTGTTAAAGATCTTCATTGTCTGACACATGCAGTATCCTTCTGACACCTTTGCGCAGTGTTCAGAATTTTTTCACAAATGTATGAACAAACTTCTTTCTGTGAACATTGCTTTACCCAATGCTCAACTTTGTTATGAGATAGCACAATGATTATCTATACATAAATAGCAGTAGATTCCCGAAGATTTGGCATTCAAATTCTAAACAAAGTCCCCTAAGCACTGAGATTCTCTTTACACCATGCCAAACGGTTGAAAGTGAAAACAAAATTCATTCAATAAATAGTATTTTATCTCCAGTTAACCCATGTGACCTTTTACCTTGTGAACTATCAAAGGCAGAAATATCCAAAAGGTGTTTTCTCTCTCACCAGGCCAAATATGTACACACAGCATTGTCCTTCCTAATCAGAGATGACACTGCTGCTGTGTGCACTCTGAATTCAGATGTCACCAAATGGACTGCCCTTGAGGTGTACACACTGAATTCAGGTATATTGTGTTGTGTGTATGAGGCAACAGCCTCTTCCATAGATACTGCTCAGTCTTTCTGGTCTTACAAAGGTTAGAGAAACATAGCCCATTTTCAAAGCACCCAGAAATCCCACTGAGGGGAATAAAAAGGATTTGGGGGACGCTCCAAGTAAAATCAATTCCAACTCAGTAAAAAGCAGTGGGCTTCCCCCATCTACGCTTCTCTCACCTTTCATTCCCCAGTCCCCACTCTCCACTCTTGTCCTGACTCCCAGTCCTAAACCAGTGTTTCTGAAAGCATGGTGTCTGTAAACTCTAATGGTTGGATCCAAATCACCAGGAAGCTTATTGAAAATACAGATTCCCGCCTTGCCCCACACATTAGTTCGTGTTTGATGCCAGAACAAGACTGGAGGAAGGCCCACACTTTGGAGAACCAGATGGAAACCTCTCTCCACTCTGATCCCCAGTGTTTCTAAATTGGTTCGAGGGTTGGAAGGCAGCAGGTAGCAGAAAACGTAGCCCAGGAAGACTGCAACCTGGTGAAATGGTACTTAATGGAACGTGAACTCCCCTTACTGGAACGACTGTAACCACTTGTGGAGCTGGCTGTCTCTGCCCTTACCCTACGCTGCTGTGCTTACCCACACAGGGCTGCGAAATCAAGACGGATTACGGGCCTCTGCTGCACACGCTGGCCGAGTTTGGGTGGCTCCTGACGAGCGTGCTGCCTACGCCCATACTGAGACATGACAGGTACCGCCCAAGTATGCTTGCATCCTCTCTCTCAATTCCAAAATATGGTTCGTTTGTTAGAGAATTCAGTTTAACAAATGCCTATTTAATGCCTACAAAAAGCACTTCCCTGGATTTCTAATCTGATTTCATGGACCTTGGAGATCAGCACATGTAATCCCCTCCAGTTGTAGATGTACACGTTATTAGTCTCCTTCCCAAGGGCAGAGCCAGCGCAGGGCCACGGGAGACCGACTCCCAACTCAGGGCTGTTTAGCACTCCGAAAGGGGCCTCTCCCCTGGAAGATGGCATTACTAAACCTTCTTTTCTAACTCAAGGTGCCGGTGCTTTCCTAGAGTGAAGACTAAGTCACAGTAAACTTGCAGACAGAAAAAAACAGCCCCCTCTGTAGGGCCCATGGTCCTGCTGCTTTGCACTGCGTGTGCGGAGCTGCCGGCCCAGCACCCGGCCGGGTTAGGCCTGCCCGGGGCTGTGGAAGCCGGAAGGGAGGCGCGCAGCGCTTGTGCCTCCATTCCCCTCTCCGGCTGCTGGGTTAGTGTTCCCGGGAGCACGAACTTGTTAGCTGTTGCCACTAAAGTAAATGCCTACATTAGAACCAAAATGCCAACATTTCATAGATACTAACAATTCCTTTTCTCCTTTTACTAACTTTCCCTATTTCCTTTCCTGGGAAGGAAAAATTGAGTTGTACTTTTTTTTTTTTTTTTTTGAGAGCGAGAGAAACCAGTCTTCTGTATAAAGTGCTTTGCTATCCCTTGGACTCAGATATGTTCCTCCTGCCGTCTTTGGCATCCAGCCAATGATTGGCTGTCTTGCCTCGGGCCAGTGACTTTCTACAGAGGACAGCACAGCACACTGGGCCTTTTCCTCAGTCTAGCAGAATCAATCATGGTGTCACATTGTGAGTAATTGTCAGGTGTCGCTGAGGACGACAGCTCCTCCTCCCGCGGTCTCATCCATCCTTCTCACCTTCTCTGGTTTTCCGAGCTTAGTAACTCACCAGTATCCCAATGTCCCCACAAATTTTAAAAGCACTTGATTGACATGGCTCTATGATAAAGCCACACCTTCTTCAGGTGGGGAGAGAACTAAAGGTGGATACAGAGGGATTAGAAGTAAACAAAGCAATGACTCTGCTTTTCTTCTCAGATCTATTGGTGACTGCTCAGATTGCGATTGACAACCTCCTGAAGCATTATTTCCTATTTTTTAAGATCTGTGACATACCTGTCAGATCACAATTCAGCGGTAATTCTCAAGGTTTGGTCTTCCAACCAAGCAGTATGAATCACCTGGGGAGCCTAAGAACAGACACATGCTGGAGGCCCACCCCAGTGGGACAATCAGAAGATTTGAGGGTGGGACCCATAAACCTGCATTTCACAAGCCCCTGAAGGTGATTAACGTTTCAGGAACTTTGCAGGAAGTAGTGAGATGGAAGGAACTCCTGTCCCCTGCTTTCTACTCCCCCTCACTGTAAATCTGCCAGACCATCGCTCTGTGCCTCTCCCCACCCTCCCTCAGAATAATCTGTATATTTGGCCTTCTCATCTCTTTTCAGTCATTCTCCTAGGTGTATAATTCAGGGTTTCATTTGGCCCATTATGGTTAATCCTTCCTAAAAGTACACTGAATTCAGAGGCTTTCACGTTCCTTTTTCTCCAGTGAAAAATACATTTGTCAATCCTCCCTCCCCTTTACCCAGGGCTTCTGCTCTCATGAGTCTAAATATTTCCTCAAGCGACATGAATGACTGCCTGGGCACTAAATTAGACAGCGAGCCCCGAGTGCCCATGCTGAGCCATAGAACATGGGCTGGATCTCCACCAGTATCTCCTGCTTCTGGTCGGTTTGGGAATGAGGACAGGAAGAGAGTAGAGGTGGGAAAGAAGGGCTTGCGTTTACTGTGAAGGGGGAGGGGAGAGGAGCCTGGCGCCACACTTGACCACTTCATCCAGGTTGCCACATGGCATAAAGGCATGGGCTGTACCCAGTGATAAGGGGGCCCGCTGGACTGAGAAGTGGCTGCATAGTCTATTTGGAGCAGAGGTAGCCCCACTGCCTCAGCACCATTCCAGCCTCTCTGTACCCCCTGTATCCACCACGGCACTGGGGAGTCAGAGTGGACCTTTCAGGCCCTTCATTGGGAGGCTCATCTTCACGTGGAACTAAAATAACAAAGGGGCTAGTTGCTGGGCGGCTCATTAAACTGCTGCATTTACCAGTGATAAACTGGACACAATATAAATGTCTATCAATAGAAACTGGTTAAATACATTATGAACTATCAGGACAATAGAATAATATGAAGCTGATAAAAAAAGAATGAGTATATAGATCTTTATTGTCAGAATTCTCTGTTGGCAATTGTTGAGTTAAAAAATCTTTTTGGAGGGCCGGCCGACTGGCTTAGTTGGTTAAGAGCTCACTCAAGAGTGTGAGCTCTGAGCTACAGGGTCGCTGGTTCAATTTCCGGCCCGAGCTGAGCTGCCGCTGAGCTGCCAACAGGTGGCAGGATGGCTCAGCTAAAAAAATATATATATATTAAAACAAAAATGTTTTTGGACACGATTATAGTACAGGCCCAATTTTTAAAGTTTATATATTTTTAATATATCTAGCAAAACTCTGAAAGGCTACATAGCAAATCTAGTGAGCGGTTAGCTCTTGGGATTATGGGTAGAGGAAGGGGAAAGTGGGGATTTCTACTTTGTCTTTATATATTTTCTATGATTTGGCTTTTTACAAGGAATGTATGTTTATTCTGTGACTTTAAAAAAAACAGTTTTAAAAAGTAAAAAATCAATCAAGTAATAAAAAGATGTGGAAGCTGTATATGGTGTCTGCTCTGAAGGACCCTAGATCTGGTAAAGTTTACACTTAATAAAATCTCATTTTAATTACAGTTTCACCATTAACTAGCTGTAGGACTTTGGAAAGTCACCTAACCTCTTTAGGTCTCAGTTTCCTCAACTAAAAAAGTACATTAGTATCAACTTTACTGGATTGTCATGATGATTAAGCAAGATTAAGCAAGGGCTTGCATGTAGGTAAGGGCAGGTCAAGCTTATGTATTATATAATGTAATATAGTAACTAATCAAGGGCTAAATGAAGTACTTTAGTCTATAGAATCTATAGGAGTATTAAAAGGAAGAGAAAGTATAGACTGTCAAAGTTAGATGGAATCTTCTAGTAATGAGATTCAAAGGCAGAATCACTATTTAGCAGAACCCCATTTAGGAATCTGCTTTTGATTCTGGATAGACGATAGCAGAAAAATGTATTTTAATAGTAATTGCCCTTATGCAACAAGGTACACTAGAACATACAACGTCTACTGGTTTTTCATATGCCAAGAACATTATGCAACATTGATGTTTGCTTTGTTCCTTTACATTTTGTAAGTTAGGTACATCTAAGAGCCTGAAGGAAGACAATATAGGATGATGGTAAAGGTTCATTGCTGTTATCTAGTAACACATATTACTGGTAAAACCTGTTTATCCTCTGCCTTTTTATTTTTGTCCAAATATGCTGTCCCTGTGATAGTCACATGCTGGTCTTAGCTGCTTCAGTGCACACAAAGATAGCACTCACTGTCAACCTTGTCATATAAAGAAAAGTATTATGTACAGTTCAGCTCGGTCCAGGTGGAGAATACAGCCTGAAAGTTACCAGCCTCTGAAACTAGAATAGTCCAGGCTTTGAGCTAAATGAATCTCATTTTAATTCCAGTTTCACCATTAACTAGCTGTAGGACTTTGGGAAGTCACCTAACCTCTTTAGGTCTCAGTTTCCTCAACTAAAACAGTACATTAGTATCAACTTTACTGGATTGTCATGATGATGAAGCAAGATAATATATGCAAAGTATCTATGCAGGGCCTATGCATACTAGGCTAATAAAATAGAGCTATGATATGGGTTCTAATCCTTTAGCTGAACCAAAATCCTGAAGAATTTGAAACCAATTTTGTTAGCATGGTAACTCGGCCTGCCGTAAATTGTGATAGTTCAGAAAATGTAAATATTGTAGTTCACTGTATACAAAATCAGCACTGAGGATTACAAATCAGTGAAAGAACCAGAAATTAGTAAATAATGGCACTGTAAAGATACATGCTCACAAGTAGGCTCACACCCAGAAAAATGAGCATCTGTCATGACGTTTCTTTTGGGGCCCACATGTCTGAAAACGAAACTTAGAATTACTGCCAGTGAAAACTTGCTTCCTTCAATATTTTTGTCACATATACAATAGTGTCTTAGACAATGGCAACTTTTTCCTACTCTTCTATCACCTAAGCCATAACTGGAGTGGTCTATACATAAAGTATTTCCCCTGGTTTCTTTCATTATTCAAGTATATCCCATTATGGGATTGCATCAAGGTATTTTCTCTGAGTGTGTCCCTAGGTTAAGGTTGTTACTTCATTATCCTGGGCAATAAATATCATACTATCAACGTTTAAAACTGTGTTACCATGGAAACACCACAATGTGGTAATCCGATATCACTATATTATTCCCGGGTTACTGTTATCAGCCTTGAAAAATGGCCAGAATCCCTTTAAACTGTTATACTGGGCTCAATCTTTTTCTTTCCAAAAAAAATCAAGGTGAAAATTGACATTAACCTCTTCAGGGAAAATCTGGTAGAGAATCAAATTGGCTGAATTAGCAGCTAATATTGCTGACCTTAAAATAATCACCAGAATAAAATGGAAGTTGGAGCCAAAGTTCCCTCTGTTTGGCTCCCTCAGCAGGGTCTCTCCTCTTTCCCCAATAATAATCTGGGGCAGAGGCAGGAATGTGCATTTTAACAAGAAGAAAGGTGATTTCAATACGTTTTCATAAACACTGAATTATAACCTTACATTAAGAAAGAGAGAGAGAACAAGCATTTTAGAATCCAGTTATATTGTACTGAGAATATAAAAGCCTGGTATGAATAACCAAAAAATTGTCTTCTCACTGTGTTGTGGAGGGATGGGGGG